CTGAGTCTTCTGTGCCCTGACAAGAGCCTAACATCATCGGCCTTCCAGTTCAAGATCAAACACTTCTGTCTGAAAAGCCATGTTAAAAACTACACTCTAAAACACAGACCTTTGCACACACACATCTCAAAGAATTTGTGAGTATGATCTGTACATATTAATTTCAAACAGGGCATTTCTCTCTCTTCCACACCTAATGCAGAACCTGAAAAGATGGCTGCAAAAAGTGTGAAGCAAGACTGACAGCCAGCAGTGAATGAAGCCCCAGTGCTCTTTCCTGATGGAATCATGTGAGGTGAAAGCTCTGCCTCAGAGAGGACTAATTCTGTATCTGGGATGCAGCTACTATTTGTACTGGGTAAGTCCTAGCACTGTACAAAACACTAAAAGACTCCTGTAAACAATCATGTAGAGATTTACATTTCCAGCACAGAAGGAATTTAAGCCTGTAGTTCACACTCCCACTGAAGTAAATGGAAATTTTATGTTTAAATACTTCTCAAAATATAATGCATTACCACCACAGGTGAATCACTAGAGATACTAGGTATGCTAGCCATATTTATCTTAAGAACGAGTGTTACATGTGAAAATTTCTTAAAATTTTTTGCTGGCTGTGAAATTTGAAAAGATTGTTGTTGTTTGTGTAACAAAATTTCCTGCAGCAAAAACACTTCTAGCTGCTGGCTTAAGAGAAGCCTGTTGAATAAATACATCAGAAAACTAAAAAAATAAATGTCCTGTAAATCTAAAACTAAAGAAAGTCCTAAGGACTTTGAAATAACATGTTGTTTGAAACACACCTCAGTTTCTTAGACTTCAAAAGAAACATGAACTCCTAGAAGAGATTTGAGAGACTTTCTTCCTCTTGGGAATTTAACTACAGAGGCAGAACTCAACAGACAACTGTCAGTGGAACTTGCCCAAGACACATTTGCTATTAGTTCAACCAAGGGTATCTGTTGTTAAGAAACTACGCAGAATTCAGGTGGTCCTTGGTCATATCACTATCGTCTTGCTCAGTGATAAGGACATACAACTTACTTTCCTAAATGAGTTAATGAACTTGTAGTTTCTTTTCAGCAGTACATCAAGACTGCTTAGCCATCAGTATAAATAGATTCTACATTTTAAAAAATTAAGAGGGAGAATTTTCAAACGGAACTGAAGTAGATTCTGTGTTTGACAGTGACTTGAGTCTCCGCTAAGAGGTCTTTTCCTGGAGGTCTTGACTACAGAAATTTATCCACAGAGACAGAGAAGGCTCTCGCTGACACATTGATGCAGTTATCTTTTACAGATTTGCTGTGGGTTTAACAATCTGCCTGTTGCTTACAAAAGTAAGCACAAGAGATGGGCTCTTACTACAAAAGCCAACTAAAGAAAAATTAATCACTCCTAGTGAAGTCAAACTTAGCACCTAGTATTTTCTGGTTTGTAGAGCTACACCATTAAATGCTTTTTATGCTGTTAGCTCTGCAGTGACCTTGCATACACAAAGGGCAGCAAAGCATAAAACAAGATATCAAACCGCTCAAAAATCCCTAGAGTTCAAAGGCTACATTCTCCCATCAGTTAGCTAGGAAGAATTATTTTGCAACAGAGTGACAAAACCAGCACAAAGACGGTCAGATACCGGCTCTTATCTATAGCTGTCTTCAGAAGTGTATGTTAGCTGAGCAAAGTCCTATCGTAAAGTTTCTGGTTTTGCAATTACAAGTAGGAAGTCTCCGTTAAACTCTTTGTTCTGAAGACTGGGATTAGACTTTTTCTATTTCATTCTCTCAAGGTATATGGATGTCTGGCATAGACGAATATAATTAATGAACCAAAACAAGAGAGGACAGGCATGATCAGGCCTGTAAAACTCAGGAGGCTCTGCATTTCTTGTGAAGAGTAACAACTATATCTACAGCCCCAAGGCAGTGTGTCTCACAGTAGTTAGAAGTATCCTGCTTGTAGCCTTGCTCAGGCACTCATCCTCAGTAAGAACCCCAAGATACTGCATGGTAGAAGCTGTTGACTGATTTGCAATTTACTGAAATATGATTGTCATAGTGGTCCCTTGCTGCTCTTGCAGCTTGTTGAAGATGACAAAAACAATCAGTCATTGCTAACCTAAAAATTAAATACATATCCTAGATTCTGACAGCAAAACTAGGGAGGAAGGGAAGACATCAAAGGGCTCACTTTGAAACAGGAAAGTCAATGATTTGGAAACCTTTGGTACTGTATTCAGTCTTATAGACCCTCTTGCTGACAAATTTATCCAACACTGTCACTTATAAGCATTAAAAAAATCTGACTTTGTATAGTGCTCCTCTTGCTCCTGCATGGCTACACAGACTTCCAAGAAATGGCAATTAATAGAGCAAATCATCACCATTCTACTACCAGAAATGTGATCATACTCTTCTTTCTGAAATATCATGCCTTCCAGAAAAAGCCCAGAACAGAGCATGATAGCAAAGTAGATTCAGAAATATGGGGAAAACACAGCTGCATTTGATTGCTAACTCTGACATTTGCCACCAAATAGCAGGGACTTGGCCTCACTGATGCTGGAGGTCCTGAAAATGCAGCAGAAATATGGGACCTGATCTTTTGCTGGAATAAATAGTTTGAATTTTGCTGGGTTTTTTTCCAGATTGAGGATTGGGTTTCAAAAGCACTCTTGCTATCTTGTAAATGGAAAAAAAGGGAGGGAAAAAGTTGATAGTTTTAAGGGGGGTATTTTGTTTGTTGGGATTTTTTATTATTTTTTAATCTGCAGCAAATGCTACTACTCCTTAAACTTCTTTATTTTCAGTCAGTAGAGGAATCAAATTAATAACCCAGTAACCAAATCATTTCTTCTTTCTACTGGACAAATCTTTGAAATCCTGGCTGAATTTCTGCACTTTTCTCAAATTTAATAGTTTTGCTCAGTTAGGAACAACCGTGCCTAGCTCTCAGTAAATGCAAAGGTTTTTATTTTACTATGGGATTTAAAGGTTTTGTCTCTCACTATGTAGTTTATACTGCCACTTTTCCTTTTATCTCAATGTTTCAACCAGGTGCCTATTGCTGTAGGACATAGGTCCATAACTAGAAGCAGAAGACAGAGGCCAGTATCTGAAGATTTTTCCCTGAGTGAATACTGAAGACACCTGAAACACAACAAATTATACAAAATCACATTACAGCACTTTTTAAAGTGACTACCAAAGTGAGGTAAAAAATATGAGTTAGAAGCACAAATACCATTTACCTTTAATGTAACTTGTGCTCCCAGCTTCCTTTGATACTGAAAATCCTACCTTATACCTTGCTTGTGAAATGTACAAAGAAAGGGGGCTGTTGAGGAGCAAAAAATAATTTCCTTTCTCTTAGATTTCATATCTCTGAAAAGTGCAAACTCTTTCAAAGATAGGCTGGAGGGAGAAAGGGGGAGAGAGAGAGTGGAGAACAACATTTGGAACTGTAGCTTTGCATCTCATTGAGAGGAACAATTTATCAGAGCTGTGGAGCTGTCAGTCCTTGACATGATAAGGAATAACACCAAATGAGTAATGTTTCCTCCAAACCCAGCTCCTTTAATTACAAGCCGCTTCCTTGCAGAAGAGAGACAGAAGATGCAGAAACACCAATTTCATGCACTTGTGCCTGAATAATGTCTCTGCACTGCCTTTTCCAGATGGCAACCTTTTCACTGGAGGAACTAATGATGTGGGCATATTTAGGGAAAAACCAATAACAGAGTCTTTAACCTTCAACAGCAAAAAGCATGTTGTACAAAATGTTCCTTGGGATACATTTACAAATATCAATTACATTGCTCACTGAGGTGTAATCAGCTGTAATAATCAAAATTAATTTTAAAAAATAATTAAACAGACCCCAGGGCAAATAGTCGATGCTCTTGTAGTATGACATCACAGTCTACATATGTACCTGGGAAGAACTTGCTCACTCTGTAAGCAGCAAAGTGATTTTAAGGAATGAGAAGGATGCTGTGGCATGCTGAGAAAAAACTTGCAGCTCAGTAAGGTACTATCAGACACAGTACTTGGGTATCATAGCCTTCCTGATCAACACACCTGGAAGTGAACCAGTCATCACTGGGGATAAAGCTGCAACCTGCTACAGCTTGAGCTAGAGGGTTAAGACTCCCTAAACTGATGCTGTAACAGACTTACTGTCTCCTCAACAGGAGGAAAAAATACCTTAATATGTTCAGAACTGCAACAACACAAGCTCAGTCCAAAGCTCTGACTATTCTGTCATTGCACTGCTGCCCTACCCTATGACTGGTTACTCTAGCCCTAACACAAACAAGTTAACATCGAACCAGTACTTTTTATTTGTATTCTTGACAAATGCCCAGCAAAAACATGGAAATGGTCCTCTCAGCAAAGGAGGACTTCACACACGGAAAAGATAGTCCAACTGCATTGCTGGCAGTAGGAATGCTGCGTACCCTCCAGACTGATCTCTGGTTTATATAAGCACTTGTCTCCTTATTTCTTGAGGCTAAACTAAAATTTGGACTTTTAATACTTCATATTGAGTAGAAAATGAAAGCACAGTACTATGGTAATACCTGATCCTTTCTACTAACTCAGTGTCTGAAGGACAAGGTTTACATGAGCAATATAAGTCCAAAGTAGCAAAGCCAGCATCTCCTCACCTTGTTCTGACCCAAGCAGAGCCCTGTGAGCAAACACACGGGTTGCTTAGTTTTTTCTTTTTAAGTGCAATAACTAGGCCTCATGCAGTAAGTATTTATTAGTATGTTATATGTTAAGGCTGCTAACTGAAATTCTTCAGATCAATTACTATTTCTTAGTGATTATTTCTAGTAGTCTAGAAAAAGAACCTTTACTGCAATAAGCGTCTAGTTTACAACGGAATATGTCAACAGGCATACTGAGAAGTCTCCCAAGCCCAGACAAACTCTCCAGAGTCGTATCCAAGGCAGACTGGTGACAGAGTCAGAGAAGACAAAGAGCAGAAGTTACCTCAGATTTGCATGCCATCTCCTTTGTGTTTCGGCCAGGCATCAACCTAATAGCTGAAGAGAGGCTTTCACTCCAGGAACTGTGCTTGCTCTGTGACAGGCCTGACCCTGCTTTATTCTGGAGAAGCTTCTTTTCAGATGCTGTGGGCCAGAACAGACAAAAAAGCTTGTAAGACTTGAAGTTATGCCTGTGGGAAGGTAGAGGGTTTGTACCCCTGTTACACAACACAACAACATGACAGTGTCTCGCTCCAGCTGGATTGTCCTTCTGTTTGTAAGAGGAGCATTGAATTAACAGGTACTTCTCAAGGCTATTTAAAAGCCTTACAGAGGTCTGCCATAGATCAGTTTCATTATACAGACATAAACTTTGAATCCCTGCAGCACTACGCACATTGGAATGCACTTCACCCAAACATCCTCCCTGCTAAATTCTCCTATGGGATACAACTGTCTAAGGAGATTTCTCTTTCTTGCAGTACAGCACAAGCCCTACAACATCACCAGGTGGTTACAGAAGGGCAGGGGCATGACACAGAAAGCAATCACAATGCTGGATGAGAGAAACTGAGAATCTGCTTTATCTAGCAAGTGACATGCAGAGGTGGGGTATAAATCAAGGAATCAGTGGCTTTGCATAAGTGCTACATTTACTGCAATGTCTTTGCTTACTACAGTGAGTGTTCCATAAAAGAACAGAGACCTATCAAGTGTTGCCAAGCTTTTGTCATAATTTCTTCCCATAAAGGGGTGATCTCCATTATCTTCATGTCCCTTTCTTTGTCATTTCCTTTTACAGAAAGATCCATCTTGTAAGTGTCCTCCAGAGCCTGGCGCCTCTGAGAAATGAGCTGCTTCCAGATGATTTCTACTGTTCTCAGAATCTCCTGATGGACTAGGAAACAAAAGAAACAAATGAAGAATCATTTTTTTTGGAAACAAGTCAAGCAACAGATAAAGCAAAAACATCTATTTAGAACAGCACTCGTCCAGAGTAACAGCTGGAGTCAGTGGAGTTGCTCCATTTTTCTACTGCCTCCACAGGTTCTAAGCCAGACTAGTTAGTCTAATATAGTAAAAGAAATGTCCTGCTGTTTTCTGTATTTCAACTCCCTGAAAGAAACAAGCAGGAGTGACAGATCATTCTAACTGGTTTCTGCCTTGGAAAACCATCTCATCAGAATTTTGATGATCTTACCATACAGCGAATGCTAAAGCACATAAAGGACATGCCTTTATGTTGCCAAACATCATTAGAGATGGTGTGGCGAAGGTAATCAAGTCATGAAACAATCTCACAGCAGCAGGATGCTGTTCAAGGAAATGCTGAGCTATTTTGCTGTATCTCCCTGAAAAATCAGACTTAGTTGGTTGCATCATACCAAAGCCAATGTATATAAAAAGAAAATAAGAGCATCACTCTTCTGTAGGGTTCAGCTGACAGCCCCCACACTGAATCCAGCCCAAATTTTTTCAGTGTTTCTCTTAAAAGAGCAAAATGTTTCTTCCTGTGTATAACAGATACAAGCTCTGTATAGGCCTTGAAAAAAGAAATAGAGCTACAGATAGTATATATCTAGGCACTGACACCGGCCTCAACATTGGGAAGAGATCTCCAGAAGATGTGGGGTGTGAATTTTGAATAAAAAGGTATGATGCAAACAAGCAATTTTTAGCACAACTTTCCTTTCTCTGTACTATGCCTGCAGTGCCTATACACTGAATATGTGACTAAGTAGCACTTGCACAAGCAGCTCTGATAACTGTTGAGGCCAGGCACTTTCCTGCTCTATAAGCCAAAGGCAACATGTGCCATAAATTACCATCATCTGGAGTAGGTAGGCTGCCCTTTTCCTCTTCAGTGGGTGCAAGGAAAATTTGATGATATGACGCTAGCTTTGGTTTTGCATCCACCCCAAAACCTTCTGGAAAGCTGTGACAGAAAAAAAAAGGTACATAAGGAAACCAAACTTATAACAAACTGAGAACAGTGAAAAAGCTAAAGGTTTTTCTTCACATCCACTCCTACTCGATCAACATTTCCAGTCTCAAAGACTTACACCAATCACATGATACTGCAGGATTTACAGGACATGAGAACTAAACCACTGCCAGTCTGGTTTTCAAAGTCAAGGAGCAGTCTTCAAGATCCTATGGATCACTCTGTTGTAAATGCCTTATCCCTGCACTTCTTAGTGCACTTGTATCTACCATTCATCTCAAGTATCTGGCACAGAGAGCTGCACTGATGTAGCCAGACTGCATCCAGTTTTCTTACACCTCCCCTCAGCATCTTGTACGCCATCTCTTTGCTCTGAATTTCTTCACTAGAAGTATCTCTCATTATGTGGGGACACACTGCCTTGCCATACCCTCCACCTGAACTGCTTACTTAGTCTAAGTTCTTTGCACCAATGATTGTTCATTCAGTTTATAAAGCACTCAGCACAAAAAAAAAAGCTGCAAACTTTAGATTATAATTGAGGACATCACCACTGCCAAAAAGATTTACTGCTGCTTTGGGGGTGTGGTGTGCGTTAGAATTTACCAGTCAGTAGGTAAAAGACACCAGGAATTTCAGCACAGCAGTAATACCTACAATAAATGCAACAGGCTTAGTTAAGGCATCCAATGTGGACTTGGTCACAGAAGTGCTGTCAATAATATATATCTAGCCACTAGTAACATACTACATTCTTTCAATTGTAAACAGGCACTACTACATGGGAGAGTCAGATCTCTTAGGGATGCAAAGCTGCCATTTTTATTTCTGATTTTCTTTTAAATATCACAGTTCTGATTCCCTGGATTTGCTAGTTTGGCTTTTGGGTAACACCAACGCTTCTGCAATTTATTTGTTAAAAAATGTTTCTGCTCTTGCTACATAGAAGCAACACTTACCCCATCTCAATAGTTTTGGCCTGGAAATTACCTGACTAAGAACGATCAAGAAAAAACCTCAGGAAGTGCAGCTCATTTCTGATGTGATACTATATTAATGGATTCAATGCACATTGAAGATTTTCATTGAAATAAACATCATCATAGTTTAGAATAAAACACTAGTCAATATTTGCTTCTTTTCACAAAACATAGTTTCCAAAACAACTCCCCAGTAAGAGCACCTCTGATACATCACCTGTAAGAATAGCAAACAGAGTGGGTATGGATGTTCTAGCCCAATCCAAATCAATGGCAAAACTCCCAGCTTCAGTACGACTAGGACTTTGCAGCTCAGATCCAAGTAACAATAACCATTAACAGAAAGATTCACAAGATCCATGCACAGTTTTATATATGTTTTAAATGTACCCACACAAGAATAGTCGCTGGATCAGAAAAAAACATCTCCCTAAAGTAGCCCATGCAGATGTCTCTGAGAATGGCCACCTGCATGCTTGTGGAGTGATTCTAGCTCACAGCCCAGGAAGATTTCCAGACTCTCATTTTAATGATAGGCATGTGAGCCAACTCCACTGAAATCAGTTCAAGCTTGTTAACTGCAGTTACTACTCTGAAGTAAGTTGCTGGAAATGGTGGATGAGTAAAACAGATACAAGACAGATGTTCTGGTTAATAAAGAGTAGCAATTAAACCTATGTGCAAATTTAAGCATTCTGATTAGACAAACATGCAAGCTTGTCTGGGTGTCTCTGAAATGAAACACCCTCTTCAAAATGAAAAAAAATAGAATTAAGTGTTATGTTATTACGATCTACTATGCCTTGTTTATTACATCCAAACACGCACATACTAGCCTGCCTCTGAGCAAGAGAGGTGGTAGGAAATTTTCTGCTCACTAGTATTTCAAGGCAAAACCAGCCTTCAGTTTGAAGAACAGTTTATCCCTTCCACTTTTTTGCTGAAAGACAATCCATTGTCTCCAGAATACTGAGCACATTAGCAACCTTCCTTTTGTCCAACTTAAATGATAAAAAAATACATCAAAACATTTCTGCTGTTGTTGTTCATTTTTTTAAGTGTATAAGGAAAACAGCCATCTTCCCTCAATTGCCTTTACTCTGCCACTTCAGCAGACACCGAACCAGAGTGGAAGGTTTGCCCTATTCAAAGCAGAATGTCGCTTTAAACCCCCAGAGCACTGAGCCCAATGGGTCAAATGCTTACTAGGATACAGTACATATACCACATTCAAAATCCTTAGTCTAGCTGTAATGCAGCTCAATCTCATCTTCTAGCAATTCCCCAAAATGCATGTTGCCAAAGTTTTGTGAAATGTCCCCCTCTGCACCTGCTCCCAGAGATAACAGCACAGAGATGTAAGCAAACATTATACTGAGATGAACATTTGTACCTCCCCGAATTCAGTTGGCAAAGGCAGTGCATTAGGCAGATGACAAAATTATTATTTGAGTTGTAAGTTGCAAAAATAACGTCCCATTGCTCCTGCACGACATTGAGAGTGTTCAGGATATTAAACTGTTCAGGCAGCGATTGTTGTGGTCTGGATAGGCAGTATAAGATGGCTCTGTTTAGACAGCTGTACAGGGCACTGAGGAAAACTTCCTTTTGAGAAACGGAGCTTTCTAAGACCTGTGAAAACACAAAACAGCAGAGTACTTGGCTTGCTTAGAGAACTCTCTCCCCAAGGATCCATTCCTCTCACTTCATTTTAGCTGGTGCAAACTTCTTTCAGCAATATTCTCCTGAACTACCTGTTAGATACAAATTCAATTTTTCTGTATTTCTGCTGAAGTCCCTGGAATTGTGGAAGAGATTAATTGATTCCTGTTCAACAACACGTACATAGCTAACACGTAGTGGCACAGAAGAGCTAACTATCCTTTCTTTATGCTGCACCATCTAATTCTGTCATTTAGAGCTATTATGTGCTCATGCAAGAAAACAGGAATAATCACAATCACCAAATGGATGACAGCCATCTTCTTGAGAATTGTGGTATCATGACCTCAGTGTGAAACAGCACATTATAACATGTTGATAACAGTTGGAAAAAAATTTCATGTGACTCACCCTCATAATCTGTTTGGCAGTGAAGATCAGGATTTGCTTGGGGTCAGCAGCAAACATTCTACTGTTCAGCTTCTCAACCAGCTTCTGAGCAAAATAAACAATATTTATCATGGATACAGGTGCAGTTGATTCTGAAGTGCCATGAGGGTCACTGGTCCCTAGAGAGGATACAAGAAGGTTGATTATTCCAAAACAAGCTGAAATGCAAAAAATAATGATGTGATATGTGTGGTTACCAGAGCTGAAAAGGAAGTCTCATGCCATAATGTCTCAGAGTTGGGATATGTCTAAGGGAACTCTAGGTCTAGCAGAAATACCTTACTCAGACTGGAAATTACAGCCCCATCCTAAAACCAGAACCAATCTCACTAAAAGACTATCATGAAGGACTGGTCTAACTAATGATTCAACTTAGTTGTTGCTGCTCTCCTTTATCAGGGTTGTTTCTAGAAATACCCAAGGATAAACCTAGATTTCTTTAATATTCAGAATTTTTTCTGAAAAAGACAGAAAAAAGCAAAGAGGCTCTCGAGAAAAAGGGTGAAACTACAGTAATTTATGCAAACTGGCCTACAGCAGGAGTGAATGGACAGTCCAGCCTGCTGAGCTGGACTGTCCTTCTAGCGACTGTTACCAAACTTTTCTAGCAATTACAGCTACATGCTAAATACCAGCTAGCTAATGATATGATTCTCACCACTCACCTCTTGGTCTTGTTTTCCCCTCACCTTGGCTGGTAACATGGAAGACGTCCATAGCAGACAGCAAAACTTTTGTCTGAAAACGTCTCTTCTGCTCACTGGTGGCATCCTCTGGAGAAACCTATATAGTGACATATACGTATTAGTATGGCAGAAGAACTGCCAGGAAATCAGACTCAAATTTGCTTTCAGCCTTTATTCAAAGGCCTTTGATTTCATCAGATCTTTGGCAGATTATGCCTGTCAGATTCAGATGCAGTAAAAGTTTTGCTCAAAGAAGCAAATAGAAATTCCAAGAGACACTCAGTACACTCTGAGATGATTCAAAACGTCCAACATTTCCCTTAAACACCTAGGAACTATGTTAGGAAAAGGAGGGGAAAAAAGCACAAAAAGATCCGGGACAACTACTCCACCTCACTTGCACGCTTTAGCCCTTGGTGTAGGCATATGAATCAGCTGCTGCAAGCTGAGAAGTTATCTGTGACAGCTAATCCACAGTAACACGTAAATGCAGAGATCTGGTGTAGTCCTCCATGAAAAGGCAACACAGCACCTTTCATACAGAGGTCAGCAAGAGTGCATGTGTGGACAGTTACTGGGCAGCACATGAGATGGCAGAACCTCATACCCTAGCTGGGAAAACAGGAAGCCTTACATAGGTCTATGCTCTCTAGCTGATAGCCGGCACAGCTGCCCACTGCACACCAAACACAAAAGCAGGGTTTTGCACAGGGCCAGAACCTAGGTTCACAGGTGGTTCCCAAGAGATCTTGCCCTCAGAGAATTTCAGTTCCATGTAGCAGGCTCAGGATTCAGATAGTCAGAATAGCCATCCTCTATTTTAAACTGTACCAAGCCTCAAGATGTTATTGTATAAACCTTTAGGGAACTGCTGCTCTGTAAGATGATTTAACTCATGACAGCTGCAGTCAAGCTTATGCTCATTACTATTTGTATTACTAAGCTAAGTCTGCATCAGAACTCATATTTGGGACACCTGAACTATTGACAATTCGGACCTGAAGCCTAAATGTTCAACTTTCCCTTTCTTCAGACTACTCTGATTCTTTCCATTGCTTTGAGTGGTTGAAATCCATAATCCAGCGTTGGCTGCTACAGCTTGTATTAATCCGTACTAAAAGTGGGGACAGTTGCTTTTGGCTTATTTGAGCACTGAAAAGACATTGTTGTCTCAAAAATCAGTACATAGGAATGCTCCATGTGAAATCTTCTGTTCTCAACAAATTCAAGGGCTGCTGTAATGACAAGCAGGTATCACCAAGGAAACAGGAAATTTTTTCACACCTTACTTCAGCACTAAATGTTGCCTGAAAAATGTCTTTATTGTTGTCAAGGGGGAGCATTTTCTTAGTTCACATGAATGCAAAGAAGGCAGAAAAGGCCTTTCCTCCTTGTTCAAAAAGTAGGAATTCTGTTCCACTAAATAGGCTGTCCAGATCTGCCAGGATGTAGTGCATGCTCTCTAAGAGCTGTCGTCCCAGGCTGTTGAAAATGCTGACTTCAATACACCTCTTCATCACTATTAGCACTTTTTTCACTAGGCCACTAGCAGGATACCTCCTGTCCTTCCACCCCCAGTGCAAAGTAGAGCACCAAAGCCTGATGACTACAACAGACACCTCAAGAAGCAGCTCAAGTGGATGCCCTTGTTTGTTTGCCGGAACGTTGAGAAGGCTGTCCGTCAGGAGGACTCGCACAAGATCCCACAATTGTTTCTTGGCAGGGTGTGGTAGTAGTGGGAGAGAGGAGGGATCAACACAACCTTTCCCTTCAGCAATGGCTGGACCATCAGGAGTCAAAAGGCCTCCAGAGCCTCCCTGTGGAAGCAGACAGCAATGGATTTTAACTTAATCTCCTTTAAAATGATTTTTCCTCCTAGCAACCCATCTCAGATCTGAAGGGCTTATGCTGGCTCAGATGCACATACCTTGGGTGGTCCAGAATGGAAAGCCACCATAGCCAAAGTTTTCAAGAAGTCAGGACAGTGCCACACAGGGTCCTGAGTATAACTGTGATAGATCAAGCACAGAAACTGGATAACATTCCCTGGATAGGCAATCTCCCAGGAGGATTCTGCATCTGCAATAGGCTGAACACAGACAAATGTGCATCTAGTCAAGGCAACATTCCTCTCATTCATGTAAGCTTGTCTTCACTCCTCTCTAGGTATTCCTAAGCAACTAAGCAAACACGACACAGCCACAGAGAAGCCAGGAAAGTCACAAGCAGCCAAATCCCAGCTTGTAGATTGAAGACACACCCAATCAGAAAGGTGGCATCCTCATCATCAAAAATGAATGAAATGGGTAGTGCTGTGGGTAAGATCCATCTCTGTGTTCAGAAGTTCTTAAACGTGAGCCCATTACATCATCTGCTATGTAACATAACCAGGCTGATAGCTGTGCTGATGCTTTGAAGTACCTGCTTATTGTTATGCTCAGTATTGCCCTGTGAGGGCAGAGGAAGGCTAGGGGTTGCAGGTAAAGACTGCCACTTGACACTCTCAGGCAGTTTATTCTGCCATTCACGCTGCATTTTCCTTGCAACAAAATGCTTACCTTGTCCACAGTGACTCTAATCATTTCCAGCAGTAAAGAAGCTGCCTCTGCACACAACCCAGTTTTGAGGACATTCTCTGTAAGGTGGTTCTGCAAGATCCACTGAAGCATAGACTCAAGATCTTTCTACAACAGGAAAAGAGATATCTCAAGAAGAGATGGGAATTATATATGATACATCAAGAACAACGCCTGCTCTCTCCACATCAGGAAAAAAACAAAATATCATCACTCTAGCAGTTCCTCCCCCTCCTATTAAATGTGTTTCCCTAGGATAGCACTGATGGATCATCCTCTTCTGAAATATATCTTTGGCACTCCCAGGACAGAAAATGTCTCATGGCTTCTCAGGACACTGGGGTAAAGTACCCAAATCCACGAATTCTGAGATTTTAATGCATCTTGACAATGTAAGGACAGGGAAGCTAATCTGAATTACTTTCTAAAGTACAGCAGTTAAAGAGCATTTAACATCTGCATGAATAAGTTTGTTCTGAATACAAATTTCCTTAAATCAAAGTTAACTTACGTAATTTTAAAAGTATGAATGACTAATTTTAACTATCACAAAAACCAAGTAGGGTTAACTTGCCTGAGAATCCTCTCACAGAAAAGGCCACAAAATGTCAAAGTAGTAAAGCATTAGCAGCTTCATGCTTGTCCGCTTTTTTTTTTCTTTCTCTTACCTTGGCTGCTTCAGGTGGTTCAGACAGTGGAGTTGCCAGAAAGAGCCCTGCCACAAGCAAGTAGATCTCAGGGATGTGGACATGATCAGTCAGACATCTTTGCAACACAGAAAATCCAAAAATCAAGAAGGAGCCATTGTCAGCCACTGGAGGATGAGTTTTTAAATTATCTTTAAAGAAAAAGAAAACATTCTGAGGAAGAGTCTAAAAATTAATGCCATATCAGAGGAAGTATTACTGATGCAAGTTTATTTTCATTTGTCTGTGTCCCAGGCCACTCGGTACTCTGCAACATCAACAGTTTACAAAACTTCCTCAGACTAACATAGCAATTTTTCCCACTATCTCTTTTGTTAGAGGAGATTCTCCCTGAATTATTCTTCTTCCTTTCTCTTCGCTTTCTCAGAACCACAGGCCTAGTTATCAAAAAGCAAGCTGAACAAACCTTAAAGAAACAAAAGGTTTCAGGGCACAAGCTGACATCTGAACACCTCACAGACTTATCAACTAGCCTGATTTTATGCAAGACAAAAAGGCTCGTCTCCCTGCAACTGCTAATCAGAAATGCCAACTATTGTGCAAGGCAGAAGCAAGGCCTTCCACTCTTCAGCACAGAAAAGCTGAAGTACTTGGGACAAGCTTGCCCTAGAAAGTAATAGCAGTTCTTAGTTTACTGAGATCAGTGGGAATTCTCTGATCACCTACTTCAGTGATCTCCTGTCACTGAACTGGATCAAGGGATTGTTTTGGGAGCATTAAATCAACACATACCCATTAGAATACTCAACTCTGCAGAGCTGTTTTCCAGCCAGCGCCCAGCCACTATCCCCTCCTTGAATTTGTTCAGCAGCAAACGATTGTGGAGGAAGCACAGAAGTAGCTTGATTCCTAGTACAACTGTGCTAGAGTGCAGGTAGCTCTGTGTGAACAGCAGAAACCAGTCTGGCCCCAGCGCCAAAAATGTCGTCTCTAGTTCCCTAGGACAAACAGGGTAATGAAAACACATGGAAGGAGACATGGTAGAAGACAGAAAGGAGATTTTATTTAAACTTATCTCCAAGTGATTTAGAAGCTCAAGTTTCTCTAGAAAAAAATCTGATTAAAAGCATACAGCAACACAGAATTACAAAGATGTAATGCTTACCCACACAGTTCAAGCCACTTAATTCCCACTAAATCCAACCTTATAGTGTTATCAGGCAAAAAAAATCATTAACATGAAGGTCCATCTGAGAGTGTGCATCAATAACTGAGGTAAACTACATCACAGACTAGATCTTTCAACCTATGAAATTCAAAATTACAGTTTAAATTTTGAAGTCCAAAATATGTTAACTAAAGAAAATGTACAGTTACAGCACTCAGCACTATGAACTCTGCCTTTCAGTTAAACAAGGTAAAACTATAGTAACTGCATGTTCATAGTTAAGATAGTGGGGTGCAAGTAATCCCACATTAAATTGAATGGATTTTCAAAAACAGCTGGAATTTCTTCAACCCTTGCAATGCAGAAGAAACAGCAATATATGAGTTCCTCTCAGACATTTTCTGAAAAATTTAAACTTTTTTAAAATGGAGATGAAATGTGTGATCTGATCACACATCTGTGTGAACGCCAAATCAGTGACAAAAAATAACTCTGAATCCAGTCTGCTCTTTCTTACTATTTTGTGGAGACTCAAATATTCAGTGTGCTCAGTCCTGGTCCAAGCAAAAAGGAAATCTAGAAAACAGAAACACTTACCCACACCTTCCTAAATTGTTTCTACTTACTCAGAGGACAGATGAAGTTTGTCTGAGTGCATTACATCTAACAGCATCTTCAGTAACTGGTTTCGAAGCCAGATTGTCTTTCCAGATGTTTGGCTTAAGGCTACAAATATCAGAAAGTAATAAAGAGTAATGAAGAGACAAAACACATGTTCCATTGCTTTGATGAACAACCTCATTTGCACCCGATTAGCCCAGGAAGTTCTACAGTCTTTTGTAGAGTAAAAAGATGCAGATATCAGATTTTAGACATAAGAATTCCTGCTAACATCAGAAATGACCAGTGCTTACATTGTCAAAGTCATCTCCTCAGAGTTACTTAAAACTCACCCAGACTATATGTTGAATAACAATCGACAGGAAGCAATCTCAGGTTAACTAGAGACGGAAATGTAAACAGGCAATCTGACTTGTATTGCCTAGCTACAATGTCCATATATATAAACTACAGCTATGAGTGTCTCCTTAATATAATATATTGTTTAGAGGTGCAATAACCAATGTAGTCTCAACTGAAAGATCACAACGAAAGAGCCAACTGACTGGAAGTTCCCCCACATAAAGTTGACATAAATACACAGCTACTTTAAAAGGTGCAAAGCTCCACATTATTATTTGCTACAACTGTAAGCATAGCAAAGTCTTCACAGAAAATCCAGAATGTCAAGTGAAATTTTATTCCTCGTAACAGCCCAGTATGTTAGTTTTGGTGCAATTTCAATTTAATGGCCTTCATCTCTGTATATATCTGAAATTCAACATTGTGTAGACTCTAGACAATGCAGGTACTGGTGCCTTATTAGCAGAGAGAGGATAAACGGGGAACTCCCTTAACAGGATGAGGATGTTGCAGTAGGTCAGCCTTTCCCAGATACGTACACAGTGACTGTCACTTCTCTATTCTTCACATCAGGCCTTTGTAGCAGTATAAGTTTTCCCCACAATTTCAGGTCACCTCAATGGAGCCTGTCGCTTTCCAGATGAAATAATTTGAATTGTGTCTCTTCCTGCCACTGGAGGCAGAAGCACTATGTTGCCCTGGGGAATTACTTTAGCTATCTATCAGAACACATACACCAAAGATAGCTCCTCACCTTCATTAGGCATCTCAGCCACACTGTCCAGGCAAATCTGATTTTCATCCACAGAAGAAGGTTTCAAAGTGTAAACAAGGAACAATCCAATCCTTGCAGAGAAAGAAGGAAGCAGTTTTGGTCAGCAGAAAGACATTAATTTAATTGAGATTACATGCAAGTCTCAATACTCATTAACGATGACTGTTAACAACAAACATTGGAAATTCTAATCACTGCAGAAATAGAATTGAAATAGGAATGCAAAAATTCATAAACTAGGAAGCAAATAGAAATGACATCTATCTACAAATGAAAGTAGTATCTCTTCTACTATAGAAACATTTTTCTCTTTATCTCTTGATTTTAAAGATCTTTCATTATGAGGGAAACAATACTGAGTTAAGCACTCTGTTCATACAAAAGATTCTGAACTGCCTGTGGCATTCAGATATCACTGTTATCACCACTAGGTTTCCAAGTACATAAAGGGAGAGCAGAGAAATCTCAGCAGGTACTCAGGGAGGAGGACAGGCAATCTCTCTTCACCTGTAGTTTGCTTTACCACATTACCTGGTTCTATGGGTAGATAACGTGAAATACACACTTAGTGAAAGTGCATAAGCTCCTCCTGCCCGTAAGAAGCATATGTATTAAGGGACAGAACACCACTTGTTCTGCAGGAACGGTCCACACAACAATCTCTGTTAAATGTGTCAAAAGCCTGGGACCCACAGAAACTCCAGTGCCGTGCAGTGCTGCTGAGAGCCTGCTATAGTCTCTGCTCTCCTGGAGCTGGAAGAATAGGGACTATCTTTATCCACTCATTCAGCACTCATGGGCCTGACAACTAATCAAATTACCATGGAATAACAAATCATGATATTTTAAGAAAAATGCTCATTCACGCTCCTTATCACATGGCAAATTTGATATACTAAATCCACTACTCACACCTGTATGAAAAAAGACTAGGCTAACTCATACAAGCTCATGGAAGGAAACTACATACAGGTACTTCTACAAAACAGCTGGCAAGCACTAAGTTCACTTATGATCTTACTCCACAGTAACTGAGGTGCTCATACTCTTCAACAGAGCTAAAAGCTCACTGTAGACACCATGCATTCAACTTGCAACTATGTTTCTACATTTTATTTGGAAAAAGAGCTTCAAAAACAGAACTGTCATCTGTGCAGTGCATTTCCCTGGAGTTAGGTGGCTGTAGACTGCACCACATGGACCTTCCTCAGTTCATAGGCTACGGCTGATGTAACTAGACTGGGAATATAAAATGGAGCAGTGTTTACATTCTGTGGAAAGCAAATAAGGATTTAAATTCTTTGCTTCATGAAATCCTAACATATGTTAACTGATTCAAATTCAGGAACAAAAAGGATAGTTACTGGGATATAAGCCAAGCCAACAGGATTAGATATGTAGGTGACTGGGGCCAAGTTGCAATACTATAGCAATTGCAGTACTTCAGGGGCAGGCTTTAATGAATCCAAATATGAAGTGCGGACTTTGAGTAGTCCCAGTCATATCAGGACTTTTTGTGCCATCACTGTAAGGGTCATCACCCAACCTGTCCTCATACAAATATAAGATTGGATTGAACTCTGTTTTGAAGACAGGAAAGTTTTTCATCAGTGGGGATTCCCGCAGTTGCCAAAGAACTGGGGCCTCCTACCAAAGATGAGGTGAGGGAAGTTCTGCCATAAAGCTCTCTCCAACACTCGCAGGACTATAGCTCATCTGGAAACTGAGAAAAAGGTATAGACTTGAAGGTTACCTGACAATATCCCTTGTGTTAAAGTATCCTTGCAACAGATGGGAGAGAATAGTGCAGGCCACAGTGATCCTGCAGTTACTGATTTCAGGATCATTGAAGAGGAAAATGAGCTTGGGCACCATTTGCACCTCATATGCAACTGCAGCATTCTGACATCCATCTCTGTAAAAAAAGCACAGGGACTATTAAAAGCTTTTACTGGAAAGAACCAAATTTGCTTCATTTCAGCTAAAAGGATTCTCAGATTGCACTGATACTTTGCACCTTTGGCTTCTAATGTTGCCTTGGCAACATTTCAAACACAGACAAATTGAGTATGTGTCAGCAATGGAGATCTGAAGATTTCTTTGTGTGTTCTCCACCCTTCCCATCTGCCCTCTCCCTTGGAAACTGCTAACATTTCAATGAGTTCAAAGTAAACAACATTATTGAATTTTCAAGCAGTGAGTTGGTAGTAATAAATGCTATTCTTGTAAAACTCAGCAAGGGACATAACAGCTCTGCATAGAGCTTTCTGGAACCAAAAAGAAGGAATCTAGCATCCTGCTCTACTCAGACACTTTGCCATGCTGCGTCTTTTCAGATATGTTTAACTCTAGAACAGCTGATTAAGAAAGTATACTGTTATAAAAAAGTTTTCCTTTGTTTTGTTTTGGTTTTAAACACAACTTCACTTATAATTTTTTTATTATTTATTATTTCAAACTCAATTCAAACATTCAGATTTCCCCTCCCCAGCAGACATATTAACTTTCATTGTACAGCAATGATCCATGTGAACCAGGTCACCATACAGCTTTTCCCAGTCTGGCCACACAGTTATTTCAGGGGCTGATCAAATCACTAACTCCATCCTTGAAAGAACAACATAGGAATGATTTAGTCCCAGAGTCCACTGGTTCCAACTAGGACTGGACCCTATCCACCTCACAGTTCCAGCTTCAGGTTACAGATAAGCTTCTCCCAGATGTTTCTGATTCAAACACTAGCTTGTGTACCTGGAGGACTGCAAGATCTCCACAAGATGTGAAAAAACAGCAAGGTCAAGATTTTCTGGTGCTTTCATCCAAAGCTGTAAAATAAAGGAAGGCAGAGGTTTTACTGCTTTGCTGAGCTGAAAGGACAGTAACCTGTGACAGAGAAACAGTTACAAGTAGTTCAGGGAGGATAAACATCATAAACTCTCAGTTGTTTCTGCAATGACAACCTGCAGGCACTGGAAAACCCCTGCCAGTGTGAGGAGCTGTTGCTCCTGAGCTAGCCCTTAGGAGTAGGCCCTCAAGGTCTGCAGGAACACTCCAGCTGGAAAGCTGCCTGGTGGAAAAGGAACTGGGGGTATTGGTTGATAGATGGCTGAATATAAGCCAGCAGTGTGCCCAGGTGGCCAAGGCGGCCAACAGCTTCCTGGCTTGTATCAGAAATAGTGTGGCCAGCAGGACTAGGGAAGTGATTGTTTCCCTGTACTCTGCACTGGTGAGGCCACACCTCAAGCACTGGGTTCTGTTTTGGGCCCCTCACTACAAGGACATTGAGGTCCTAGAGCGTGTCCAAAGAAGGACAACAAAGCTGGTGGAGGGTCTACAGCACAAGTCTTATGAGGAGCAGCTGAGGAAACTGGGGTTGTTTAGTCTGCAGACACAAAGGCTGAGGGGAGACCTTATCACTCTCTACAACTACCTGAAAGGAGGTCATAGTGAGTGGGTGTCTTCTCCCAAGTAAGAAGCAATAGGACAAGAGAAAATAGCCTCAAGTTGCACCAGGGGAAGTTTAAATTGTATATTAGGAAAAATTTCTTCACCAAAAGGGTTGTCAACCATTGGAACAGGCTGCCCAGGGAAATAGTTGAGTCACCATCCCTGGAGATATTTAAAAGAGGTGTAGAGTGCAGATGTGGCACTTAGGGACATGGTTTAGTGGTGGACTTGGCAGTGCTAGGTTAATGGTTGGACTTGATAATCTTAAAGGTCTATTCCAACCTAAATAATTTTATGACTCTATGAAAGTGCATGGGGACACAGAGGGGAGCCATGATGACAGAGGATCTGCCATTCCAGGAGCTACCACCTCTCCAGGTGAGCTACAGTGTGGAAGATCACCACACACCACCTCATCCCAAATCCTGGATCCAGAAGGTGCTATGAACAAACCAAACCTCATACTATAAAACCATCTTTAACACAGCCAAACCCACAAAGTAACATCAACAGTTTTACCTCGAAGTTGCAGAGAACATACTGGAATGCACTATAATTCTTGATGACGGAAGACTCAAAGCCAAGCTCAGCTGTGCCCACTAGGGAGAACATTAACTGTAAAATCCTGTTGTTTAACAGCTGTGTCTTCCTCTTCAATAGATATGCCAGCAACTGAAAAAAAAACAAACAAAAAAAAGACTTAAGTATCTGCTGAGTATAAATCTGTATTTATAAGATAATATATCTAACACTATTTTTTAATTCAAGACAAATGCAGTTTACTTGACTGTAGTAGTCATGCATGCATACATCTTACATAAGCATCATGAAGAAAGTGAAGATTTTAGTCCAGGCATAAAATTGTGTGCAGTAAGTGAAAGGGTAAGTTTTCAAAGGAGTTTGACAACTCTGAAGCATTGAACAGGAGCAAAATACATGCCATATTATGTTGAATGAAATTTACAAAAAGCAACATACAAATATAATTGTAAATAACCACAGTAGATTTTGTACACTGTTTTTCATGGCTGCATTCTTAGTTGCTTGCAAATGGTGTTAGTTTAAAAAAGTAATGTTGACTTCTTCAAATGAAAAGACATTTGTGTGAAACATTGCCAGTTTCTCAACTGAGTCTTTGATTATTCAATGGATTCCTGATACAGTGAGAAAAATGTTCAGAAAGCCACTAAATTTTAAATATGTTGGGATGAATAGATGTTCATTTGAAAACACGTATCAAGATGTTTTTATTAGTTGGCTGTTTAAAAAGATGTTTAGACATACAAACAAAGAACAAAATGACTCCATTACAACATGATGATCAGTCATGTGGAGAGAACACTATTTAGCACAAAGTCGAAAGGAACAGCTCGTACACAATCTAAAGGCTGGCATTCACCTACAAGAAAGGATTGGGCAAACAATATTTAATTATGATAAATATATTCATATGAATCAGGATCAGTTCATGAACAATTCACAAATTGGGAAAATGGAAAATTTATAATAAATCATTCATGAAGCCCTAATGTTAAGAATCTTGTTTGGAACCATCTCTGTTAAAGAGTCTTCTCTGTTCCATAAGACTCTGCTTAGCCTATGCAGCATAAACTAAATGAAACTGAACTGAAACTTCACACTTGAGCCTTAACCCAGCCAATATTACAGATATAGTGCTTAAATACAACCAAACTCTTCAGTCTGCACAGCTTTCAGGTTTGAAAGATGAATTTAGGACAGACCTAATGAGCACTTATTTATATCAGCACAATTCCTAATACACAGTGAAGACTGAGTCACAGGAATTCATTGTCAGCCCTACACTGGGCAGACTGTAAAGAGGAATCTTAGGCTGGATGAGCCAAGGGGAGGAAGCAGACCTGCCTGAGAAGTGGTGTCTTGGGGGAGGGATGAAGTTTGTTGCTAAAAGTTGAAGGGTGGGTCACTCACAAATTTGCTGCATTGGCTTACTTAGTTTACTAGATCATGTCTGACCAAGAGGCACCTGTCCTCACCTTCCCATCAGCATATATACTGTTTTAGAAGTTCCTGGAGATTGTAAGCACAGGATTTATAACACTATCCTGTATCCTTCTCTCAGAGATCTCATAAGTTCCAACCATAAGCGCTAATAGCCAGCACATCCTTGGTTCATTGCCACTGACAGGTTTTGGAACAAGGTGCTCCAAGGGAAAGAATATAACCAGAATGAATGAACAAAAGAGCATCTACCTGGTATCCATTCATGTGCCTCATCAATTTTTCACTCATTGGGCTACTGTTCAGGATGGAGTTCAGGACTTTGACAGCTGCATACATGGTATGGTCATCACGGGCCATAGCAATGAGACCCAGGAGAATGGCAGGGCCTCCGATGAAGTTCAGGCTAGTAGCTGCTGGAGAGGACTGGAACACTCTTACCCCTAGGAAATCGCAACATTACTCTACCAGGAAGTTACATGGATTAAATTTGTTATTGTACAGAGAAAGGCCCTACTCTTAAAAAATATGAGATATTAAGGCATAGCGCATTTACCATATTGGCCCACAGCAACTGACCCAATAGTCCGCAAGAAACCTGAGAGGTGTGCAGCAATATTCTTAGCTAGGAATATTGGAGTTGAACTGTCCCGAGAGTTAATCCCAATCTGAAACAGATAAAAGACATCCTAAAAAACCTGTGGTAGTATGGAGAGACAAAAACTAACAAGTAGACACTCTAATACTTTAGATTTTATTACTTTTAGACTATGAAAAACATTTTTTTTTTCCTTCCAAGTTGATTGTTAGAACAAACATTGACCCAACTGAAATATCCCACAACCCCGTTACTTTGACACGTCAGTAGGCCTGGCTTGGCAAGAATGCTAGAATAGCACGTGCAAGGTCATTGTGAAAGCATTAAGAAATCAAACGGAAACAAATTATCATTAGAGCTGAAAACTATAGCTTCTTTGGCTGTTTCAAGAAAGCTTATTCACACTGTCCAATCTATTCCTCTCTACACTTGAAAACAAAACCATGAGTAGAATGGAGTTCAGGAATGGGAAGAGAAGCTAGAAAAAAAATTAATCACTGAAGGTATACAACAAAGACAAAGTCACAAATTTTGCTCTAGGAAACCAAATCAGAAACAAGAGAAAAGGTGTTTAAGACAAACGAGGGAAATTAGTGACCTCTTTGGCAATCAGCCGTCCATCTACTTCATTGTAGGAGCTCTTTATATCTTGGACCGTAGTGAGAGATGAGCACATGGCATTGATTCCAAAAGAAATCTTCTCTTCTGCCACCAGAGATGTAGGATTATGATCACTGTACTTGTCCTCACCTAAAACAAGAGAGACTATGAACTGCTGAAGGAACTCTGTATGCTCAACATGTGAGACAGGAGAGAGGCAGATGAAAGAATTCATCTCATTAAAATTAACTACAAGTAAATTCCCCAAGACTGCTGTGACCTGTTTCCCTTTCACTAGGACATGGACTTATGGCTAAGCCTCTGCACAGCTACTGCTGATTAGTGAGAAGCAATGAGATACTGGTGAGATGGGACACAACATTGCTGAAACAATTCAAACTGCTGTTCGCAACAAGGTCATAAATCCATTCGAAGGAATAAACCATAATGTTTTGGGGTTTTGTGCTGAAACTAAGTCAAAATTTCTATTAGAAAAGTTTCTTTGGGTGTTTTGATGCAATAGGGAGATGTTAGGTACCACCTTCCCTCTCTGTTCTCCTCCCTCACCTCCCACACCCCCGGAAAAAACAAGGCAGGGGGCTGGAATGTTTGGAAGAGAAAGAGATATCATTTCACAATGACAAGATCACATCATAGTACCCTGTGACTTCCCTGCATCAGAGCATTGCTGGAGTCTGATGGCTACAATCCATGATCAGTACTAAATTCCAGCTGGGAAGACCAGTGTGCAGAGAACAAAAATCCCAGACTGTATGAAGTCTCAACACTTCAAAAATAAAATCCTTCTGACTTCTATAGATAATATTTTTATTTTAGGGCTATATTACAGTATTTTTCTCTTTCAACAATCCTTTCCCATACTTGACTTGGAGATTTTTTTTTTTGTCTAGATAGACAGCATTCTGAAGGAGTATTTTCAGACAGTCTTTTCACTTTGCTTTAGGATGGAGCATCACCAGGTGAGATTATTGTGCTCTTTTCAAATAGGAGATGACGATCCCATTTCATCCCAAGCTCTAGTACAGAGTTGAATGTCCTACTTGTTCAACAAACAGTAATCAATACCTGAAATGTTTTGTCTGCCTGTTTAATAATTGAAGCTAACAGTATACTTTCGTTAAAAAGCCTCTTCATTAAATGGAATGTAACTTATTCTCTTACCCCTCTCTCCCCTGTGCTCTCTCCTACTCTGCAGGTATTTGCAATTAAAAATGATGCTTCTTTCTGCCATGTTTTTCCTGTAGCAGCCATAAATGCAGAATGTCTTAGTTAAAGCTGCTGCTTTAATATTTGTCCAACAGAAATTGCCATCTTACATCTCCTCAAGAACATGTTATCCCTCTTTACTCTCCATCTCTGCTGCTTGATTCCTGCCCTGCTTTTTCTGCCCAATGTACAGTATGTTACAAGATCCTCATGGTATCTTACTACAGTCTTGTACAACACTCAGTAATGCAGAGTTCCAGGCTTTTAGAGCAAGCTTTAGGCACAGTTGGAATACTATTAGCAGATTATAAGAAGAGAGCACTGTCCTGACAAACAGAGGTGTATACGAGAATTATTACATACCTTGAAGCTGTACTGCTTGGAAATTGCTGCAATACTGTGGGCCAAGCTTATTAATCACCTCCACGGTTCCCACAGAGATGGCTTCTTCAAACAAGTATGTAGGGCCAAGGCGCCAGGTCAAGGAGGACATCTGTTTCCAAATTCGAGGAGTAGCTATGTACCCATAGACATCAATAAAGGAAGAGGGTTCTATGGAAATACAGCTACCAGGTAAGGGCTGGAGATACTGCATCTGCAACAGAGGGAGAATTCACCTCAATACAATAGACTCAGGGTGCCTAAAGATCTTGTCCCTGGAAAGTACTGTCTGCCACCTCTCTCCTCAGTCAGCTATGCAACACAATTATCAACTACGGTTTAGAAATTGGACTTTCAGAAGAATCACAAACATAAGCATTTTGGAGAGTTCAAGCATACTTTTTGTTCAAAAAACACTGTCAAAATAATTTCAAATGTTGGCAAAGAAAAACCCTATCTTGACCCCAGACTTCTTTTTCCGGTTCTCAACTTCATAACTCAGACTGTGACTTTCCACACAGAAAATCAAGTTACAGATTGCACCTTTTTCTAGGCACCTAGAGAATAAACAGTTTGAAGAGTGTAGAGTGTCCAAGTGCATCAGTTAGCTTCAATTAAAGTGACATAGCTTAGGAAATTGGACCATTTATTTTTGGTATCAAAATAAGGATTCAACCTCTTAAATTAAATCTATTATTAGTTGGAAATTTTTTTGGTATAGGGAAACTATATTGTACTTCAGGGCTTAGCCCTGACGAACAATTTGCTGTTAGGATGAGAGACTCGCACTTACTGATATCTGAACTACTGAGATGTAGAAGATAGGGCTGGTCAATATTAGCAGGCAGGACTTGATACTTGAGTGAACAAATATTAGGTTTGATGCAACAGAGTGACTCACCCACCCCACCCCTCCCCAGCTCAACCACCCAAAAATAGCTTTTGGTATTGTTAACAACCTTTATGCAATTTTAATTTCTTACACAATCTTTTCTTCACTGTACACATCAAGATGAAGGCTTGCATCATGTCAGAGACCCTAGCACTGGGACCATCTTTTATTTACTAAATGCTTGTTTTATTTATTATGAGCTGTTTCACTGTATGTTAAACACATTTGCTGTGAATTCTTTAATCAATTGCAATGCTTAGGCCTAGTTTTATTGATGACTTTCAGTCTCATTTGAAGGAAGGCAAATTAAATTAAATTTTCATTCTTGAAATGGATATAGGTCCCAAAAGGCATTTAGAAGACAGATCATTTTTCTCAAGTATGGGAAAGAGAACATTTGGAATTAAACAGGTTGCTTTTACTAGGGAAGTATAAAACACACAAGTGAGCTTTGCATGTGTTGAGATTGATTTGAAATATGGGAAGAAGGAGGAAGAGACCAAGGTTAGAAGTTTCCATTAATAGAAGAATTCTATTCAAAAACAAAACCAAAAAAACACCACACCAACCAGAGCTGCAACAGAAATAGGCTGCATTTTCAACATTGCCAGCCTGGAGCATTCAAAATCCAAAAGTCAAATCTCAGAAATAATTTGAGATTAGCTTCAAAACCAGGAGCATGATGATAATAATGTAAACCAGGGACTCTTCTCATTTATCCTGTACATTATGAACCCTTCAGGTGCCTTGGGATTGCTTTCTTGTGATATCTCATGCAACCTGAGAAATTCACCATTTGAGAACTCTATGCAATAAGATCACAAGAAATGTGATAAGGGCAAATAATAGCTATGCCAATATTTGCAATGAACTCTGAGTTGATACCATTGAAATTTACAAATTTTCTAATTGAAACATTTCTTTTACTTCTATTAACTCAAAAAAGAAGTATTATTTTAATTCAAGAGCTATCTCATGCACTGAACTAACACAGAGGAACATCTATCTGCTCCTGAATGCTTAGAGTGCCAGTGGGAAAAAGGCTGCTGACTCATCAGCTGACTGTTCAATGGGTGTAACAGGCAGAAGACAGCTTGAAACATGCCCATGTAAGATGCTTGAGGAAATTCTATCCATCTTGGGATTCCTGCAAAGAGCCAGCCAGTCACAGAAGCTTATTTCTCTGTGACCTTTCTGCTTTACCTGGCCATTCTTCAAAAATGGAGGCTCCCTACATAACTCGTCACTTTTGCAGGTTTTAGCCTAAATTCCAAAGCACCTTCAGTTTAGGGTTCTCTGATCAGAGATGTACTTTTTATAGCTGACAACTTCTGAAAGTCTTGAGCGTAAACAGAGATCCTCAAAATCACTAGTAAATTCAGAAAATTTTGGCCTAAGGGTATGTGTTGGTTTTGCGTGGCAAGGTTT